ACCACCACCACCATGCAATTATTTATTACTGGTATTTATATAGTGCTGGTCCCATCTGAAGTAGGACCCCCCACCATCCAATTATTTATTACAGGTATTTATATTGTGCTGGTCCTATCTGGAGTAGAACCCCTCCCCCTATCCAAACTTTGCCACTGGATGTCCTATGTCTGATAACCATCATCATTCAACCCACTTCCCCTCAGACCTAGGTTGTCCCGGAAAAGCCCCCAACTTGTGACTGGACAGTAAAAGGAGAAGCAGTTCATTAATGAAGAGATGAGGCAAGAATGGTCCCCCAAAAAAATGTGATTGCAAGACAGCAGAGGTTTTCTCATTCTGCTTTCTCCTCCTATCAGCATGCTTTTGTCAGCACATGAACTGATTGGTTCCTTGTACTGCTTCTTCTTCTCACACTTCATCCCTGCTGTGTAGGGGCTGCAAGAAGCTGATACCAGGTCACATTCGGGTACTTACACTGCTTGCATTTAAAACATACATTTAATAATATGCTAATGATCACAGTGCTGTATAATGAGTAACTAAAGTTCAGTTTTATGAAAACAACAACTTTATTTATGTAAAGACACACAAAAAAGACATAATGCCATCCATTTCTAATAAACTGAATGCTGACTTTTATGCTTTGTGTATATGAGGCTCCCGTGTCCTAATAATATTACACGACTGGCGGAACTGACAGCATTAAGCCAATGTAGTATAGAGATAAGTGCAGGGCTGCGATCTGTGACAACCCTTGTGGTCCACTACTGTAGATTAGAGGATGAGTCTCGCTTCTCTGCGACCGAATGGATTAATTAAAGCAGAACAAGACATAGAATCCCCATATGCTACAGACTGATAAGATTAACCCCACTGATTTCATGTCATGCTAATGAGAATGGGGGATGTGTCATTATAACATGTCATTGTTATGTAGATGTGTAAGCTGTTGTCATTATGTGGATCATTCGTGATTAATGCTGGCCCCTCCTTCAGTATTCTCAGAAGGAGGGGCCAGCAGCGACAACCTCCATGTTTTTCTCCCAACCTTTAAGGAAACACTTTAAAAAAATGAGATAACATTTTTGTGGATAGTAAAACCTGAGGAACGGCGTACTGAAATTACAGGTTAGAACGCTGCGAGATTCTAACTTAACACCCCGCTGTTGTCAGACAACAATTTTATTTCGATGGAGAAGAAAAAGGCTCATTTAAAAATCACTTGTCAGGGAGAAATGTAAGACATGTAAATTGAGTCCCGTCTATTCCTTCTGCGGCAGAGAGAAATTCCATTCAGCGATAAATTGGTTTTCTATTACATTTCAGACAACCGTGTGCGACGGCCATGACATGTGTATACCCATATCAGCCTATGCGCTGAGCTCTCTCCAGGATGATGGCTAAAGGCAAAAAGTATAACACATTACAACACAAACGTGTTAACCGTTTAAAGGGAAAACTCACCCAAAATAGCATTAACAAAATCAGCCATTTACTCAAATATGACATTTAGATTTTTTTTCATATTTAGGTGGAACTCTTTCCGGGTTCAAGAGGAGCTCCTTATGGATTTGGGAAGAGCTCCTACTGGGTTCAGGAGGAGCTCCTTACAGGTTAAGGAAGAGCTCCTTCTGGGTTCAAGAAAAGCTCTTTAAAGGGTCAGGAGGAACTCCTTTCCAGGTTCAGGGGGAGCTCCTTCTGGGTTCAGGATGAGCTCCTTTCGGTTTCAGGGGGAGCTTCTTCTGGGTTCGGAGCAATCTTCTTCCAGGTTTGGGAGGTGCTCCTTCCAGGTTCTAGAGGAGCTCCTTATGGGTTTTGGAGGGTCTCCTTCCGGGTTTAAAAGGAGTTCCTTCTAGGTTCAGAAGTTTCTTCCGGGTTCCGAAGGAGTTCCTTCCGGGTTCAGGAGAAGCTCCTTCTGGGTTCATGTGGACCTCCTCCTTGGTTTGAGAGGACCTCCTTCTGGGTTCAGCATCAGCTACTTTCGGTTTCAGGAGGAGCTTCTTCTAGGTTTGGGAGGAGCTCCTTCCAGGTTCAGGAAGAGCGTTTTTTGGGTTTCGGAACAGGCTTCTTCCAGGTTCAGGAGGAGCTCCTTCTGGGTTCAGGATGAGCTCCCTTCGGTTTCAGGAGAAGATCCTCCTAGGTTCAGGAGAAGCTCCTTACAGGTTCAGGAGGAGTTCCTTCTGGGTTCGAGAGGAACTCCTTCCATATTTGGGAGGAGCTCCTCACTGTGTTCAGTCCGAACCTGAGCTCATCCCTACCTTCCACCTCTTACGATGAACAGAATGTAGACGTGGACATCTGAATCCGCCGGCATTTCTCATTGCCCAGAAATAATTGACTATTTTTACTGTCCGCCATCAGAAACAGTTAAACTGTAGTGGACGTTCGTTGTGCTGTGTTCGTGCGTTCGATAATTCAATCTCTTGGAGACCCTGAGGTGAAATGGGCAAGAAACTCAAGCCGTTCCCCCCTGAACTGTTTTTATCATCTAACCAGCAGAAAAGTGTAAAGATGTGAGGAATATGAAATAATGAACAGTCGCCTTTCTTGTCTGCGGTCGGATGGTGAAAGGTCGCGGCGGTGTCAGTTTCATGCTCGGGAAAGAAAAAAGGCTGCGGGGCAGCGAACAGGCAGATTCTTGCAGCTTGTTGAAAACTTGATCTTGCAGACTCAATGGAGGTAATGCTCCAAACTGAGGAGTGTTTGTGTCTTATGGAGCTGTTGTTTCCATGGTAACGTAAGGCCGGCTTCATACTGGAAATGGATGGGTTAACGCAGGACAAAAGTCAACAGAAAGTGCAGTATGTGGGTTGGAGTATCCTTGGGGGGGTCCCAGAGTAGTCTAAGATATATGGAGAGTTGATTTTTATTTTGCACAACAGGAAGTCACAAGAAAAACCCAACGCCCTCTGAAACCCTTTGGGTTTTCTTGTGACTTCCTTTTGGGCAAAATAAAAATCAACTTGACTTAACAATTTATCCGTGGCGCTCTCATGCGCTTCATACCTCCATGATTTTGTTTTTATCATCGGTTAATGTTAGGGATAGGTGATTTACTCGTTGAGCTGCTTAGGTGGAGTTTGCATGACAAAAAAAAAATCACCTGAGGCTTCAAAATTGCATAGAATGGCCCCCAAATTTGTCTAAAGGCGACACTTTCAAAGTTTTTACAGGTCAGAGTTGACCATAAATAATGGCCCTAGAAGTATTGTTCTCACTCTGTTGTACTGTCAGTGACAAGGCCCAGTAAATCAGGGGTGGTGAATGAAGTTGTTGTGACCGGGCTTGGCTCACTGTTCTCGATTTTAATTCCAAGTCTTAAGTTACGATGGATCAAACTTGCTTCTAAACCTGCAAAACCAGTTCAACCAGTCTCCTTGTCTAAACAAGATCCCCTTTCCCCTAGATATTATATAATGGATTCTTGGGTCAAGTTCACCGAGTGCCCTGGAAAGGTGTTGCAGCAGAATGGGTGCCACCACCATGACTCCCAGAGGCAGATGAGTAACCGGAAGACTGCCACACACCGATAATCTGCCCCCTCCTGCGTACTTTCTCTGTATATAATGACAGGGTTTGGGAAATCAATAATGACTGTCAAATAATATGTTGTGAAGCTGGACATAAATGTTGCAATCTGATTGTACAACCTGTGAAACACTTTTCCCTGTCTACACAAAGTGAGCTGCCTGACTGCACATGGAAGGTAAACAAAAGGGGGCAGACATGATGGACTCATAGATCTTTTTTCTGCTTTTACTCTTCTATGCTTTCCTCATTCCTCCCTTCTCTCCCTCCTTCCTTCCTCCTCTCCTTCCTTCTTTTCTTCCTTCCTTTTCTCCTTCCCTCCCTCCTTTCCTTCTCTCCTTCCTTCCCTCCCTTCCCTCTTTCTCGGCTTCCTTCTCCCCTCCCATCTTCCTTCCTTTCCTCCTCCCTTGCTTCCCTCCTCCCTTGCTTCCCTCTTTAATTCCTTCCTTCCCTTTCCCACCTTCCTTCCTTATGCCTTCTCTTCTTCCTTCCTCCTTTCATTTCCCTTCCCTCCTTCCTTCTCTCCCTTCCTCCTCTCCATTCCCTCTCCCTTCTCCCCTCCCATCTTCCTTCCCTCCTCCCTTTCTTCCCTCTTTAATTCCTTCCTTCCCTTTCCCACCTTCTTCCCTCTCTTCTTCCTTCCTCCCCTCTCTCCTTCCCTCCTTCCATCCCCCTACCCTCTTTCCTACCTTCCCTTCCTTCCTTCCTTTCCTCACCCTTCCTTCCTTTCTGTCCATATTTAATGTTGTAAAGCTGGACATAAATGTTGCAATCTGATTGTACAACCTGTGAAACACTTTCCCCTGTCTACACAATGTGAGCTGCCTGACTGCACATGGAAGGTAAACATGTCGTCACCCATATGTAAAGCAGACGTGATATGTATATGTCTCCTCACAAGTGTGTTTATGTGCCCTGGGAAACATTGCGCTCACTTTTGCTCCTTATCTCCGGAGTCAGATGCTGGACGGTGAAGGATTGTTTGAACAAGCAATCTTGCTGTGATAGTTTAGATCGGGGTTCTCAACCTTTTCACGATTACGGACCATCAATGTATGTCCCAGTATGTCCCCATAACCCCCATCATCACCAGTCCCATTAGGTACCAGTATGACTTCTAAAGATCTCAATAACTTGTTT